ACTTTTGGTGTAATGTTTTTGAGGGGCCCCAAAATTTCAGATCCTTTCAGTTTTACTACATGAAGGGTTAAAAGGTGATGGGATACAAGGAGAATAGAAAACATCGGGAAGAGAGAGGGGAAGGTTATAAACTAAAAGAGGAGGGAGTTAGGGTAAGATATAAACAGCTTTGGGGATAGATGGGTAAAGGAGCAAGGCAATGGGGTCGAAGAGGATGGGGTAGGTTTAAAAAATGTAATGTTAGAGTGTTTTAGCAGAAATTTGTGGTTTCAGGAAAGTGGGGTGGGAGGGGGAAGAGGGGCGATTGGTGGAATGATGATGTAAAGAGAGTAGTAAGGGGAAAAAAGTTGCATTGAAAGTTTTTACAAAGTGAATGATCAAAAAGGGAAAGTATATGGAGAAAAAGAGAGAAGTTAAGAAGGGGGTGAAGCAAAGTAAAAAGAGAGCAAAAAGGAGTGGGTGAGATGTTATCAACAAATTTTTTTTAAAAAAGGGAAAAAATTTTTGGGGGAGATTAACAATTAAAAACCTAGAGAACAAATGGATTTGTCAGTTAAAAATAGGAGAGGGGGGAGTTTTTAAATGGGAGTTAGGGTATGGGAGATGGAAGGAAAATTTTGAGGAATTGTTAAATGTTGATGAAGATAGGAAGCTGGATTTCGGTATAGGGCAAGGAGGAATAACATCTTGTGAGTAGGAAAAACCAGTTGTGAGTGTGGGGGAAGTTCGTGAGGCAGTAGGTAAAATGAAAGGGGGGTAAAGGGAGCCGGGGGTTGATGGGGTAAAGATAGAAATGTTAAAAGCGGGGGGGAAAGTTTTGGAGTGGTTGGGGCAATTATTTAATAAATTATGGAAGGGGGTAAAGGTACCCGGGTTGGCAGAGAGCGCATGTTCCTTTTTATAAAGGCAAAGGGGGTAAAAGAGAGTGCAAAATTATAGGGGAAAGTCTGTTGAGTGTACTGGAAAAATGTATGGTAGAGTTATAATTGAAAAAATAAAAGTAAGACGGAGAATGGATAGCAGATGAACAAGGAGGCTTTAGGAAGGTAGGGGTGTGTGGACCCAGGTGTTAAGTGAAACTATAATGAACGTATTTAGATAAAGGCTAAAGAGGTCTTTGGGATTTTTTGGATTTGGGAAAAAGGCGTAGAAGGGGGGGTAGGGGGGCAATGTGGCAGATGTTGCAAATGTATGGTGTAGGGGGTAGGTTACTGAAGCGTGAAAAAGTTTTTTTAGGAAGTGAGGCTCAAGTTGAGTATGTAGGAAAAAGGGGAAAATTTTTTTTCCCGTAAAAGTAGGCCTTAGACAAGGATGTGTGATGTCACCCTGGTTGTTTAATATATTTATAGATGGGGTTGTAAGAAATAAATGCGAGGGTCTTTTAAGAGGCGTGGGTTAAAAGATAAAGAATCACACCAATGTGGGAGTTTTCACAGCTCTCTTTTCTGATGACACTTGCTCTTGGGAGATTCTGAAGAGAATTTCAGAGATTGGTGGATGATTTGGGGGGTGGGGAAAAAAAAGAAAAATTAAAAGGGAATACGGAAAGAGTAAGGTTTGGGATAAAAAAAGAAGGTGATGAAAGTTGAATATCAGATTGGAGGGGAGATATGGAGGAGGGGAAAAGTATTCAGTATTTGGGAGTGGGCGTGTAGCGGATGGGTCTATGAAGATGAGGTGAATCAAAAATGTTTAGGGAAAAGAGGAGTGGTGCCTTAGGAGTCTGTGGAGCAAAAAAACTTTGTCCTTGGAGGCAAAAAGGGGAAAGTATGAGAGTATGTTTTACCAACCTCTTATATGGGGTGAAGGTGGGTGAGAATGTTCAGCGAGGAGAAGTGGAGGCAGTGGGATGTCATGTCTGAGGGCAATGTGTGGTGTAAAAAAATGCGAGAATTCGTTTTTTTGGGAAGTTAGGAGGAGGTGCGGGATTACCAAAACTGTTGTCCCGAGGGCTGAGGAAAGGGGGTTGAGGTGGTTGGGGCATGTAGAGAGAATGGAGCGAAACAGAAAGACTTCAAGGTGTATCAGTCTGTATGGAAGGGAAAGGGGGGGGTAGGGGTCGGGCCTAGGAAGGGTTGGAGGGAGGGGGTAAAGGAGGTTTTGTGTGCGAGGGGCTTGGACTTCCAGCAGGCATGCGTGAGCGTGTTTGATAGGAGTGAATGGAGACAAATGGTTTTTAATACTTGACGTGCTGTTGGAGTGTGAGCAAAGTAACATTTATGAAGGGATTCAGGGAAACCGGCAGGCCGGACTTGAGTCCTGGAGATGGGAAGTACAGTGCCTGCACTCTGAAGGAGGGGTGTTAATGTTGCAGTTTAAAAACTGTAGTGTAAAGCACCCTTCTGGCAAGACAGTGATGGAGTGAATGATGGTGAAAGTTTTTCTTTTTCGGGCCACCCTGCCTTGGTGGGAATCGGCCGGTGTGATAATAAGAAATAATAATAAGATCTTTTAAGAGTTCCTGTTACAAATAAATATTTCTTTCTTTCAACACACCGGTTGTATCCCACCGAGGCAGGGTGGACCAAAAGGAAAAACGAAAGTTTCTCCTTCTACATTTAGTAATATATACAGAAGAAGAGGTTACTATCCCCTTGCTCCCGGCGTTTTAGTCGCCTCTTACAACACGCATGGCTTACGGAGGAAGAATTCTATTTCACTTCCCCATGGAGATAAGAGGAAATAAACAACAATAAGAACTAGAAAGAAAATAGAAGAAAACCCAGAGGGGTGTGTATATATATGCTTGTACATGTATGTGTAGTGTGACCTAAGTGTAAGTAGAAGTAGCAAGACGTACCTGAAACTTTGCATATTTATGAGACAGAAAAATGGACACCAGCAATCCTACCATCATGTAAAACAATTACAGGATTTCGTTTTACATTCACTTGGCAGGACGGTAGTACCTCTCTGGGCGGTTGCTGTCTGCCAATCTACTACCTATAACAAATAAATATATTTATGTATTATTTATGCAGTTTTGAACTGTAGTATTGGTTTATCTCTGGCAAGACAATGATGGAGTGAGTGATGGTGTAAGCATTTCTTCTTTTTCAGGTCACCCTACCTCGGTGGGAGACGGCCGATGTGTTAAAAAAGAAAATATTTATGCAACTTATAAAGTTTTCCAGATGTTCACTAAGGTAGAAATTAATGCTTGTGTCTTGCGTGACACTGTTGGACAGTTTCTAAAAGTTATTAAGTAAATAGACCTCCCACTGTCTACATACTGGGAACTGTTTTTGTTCAGATAATACTGTTTACATTACTATTCCTTATTTGTTAGAACTATACACAATGCATTAGAATTAACTAGTCATTTATTTTATTATTTTTTTTATTAACACACTGGCCGATTTCCACCAAGGCAGGGTGGCCCGAAAAAGAAAAACTTTCACCATCATTCACTCCATCACTGATTTGCCAGAAGGGTGATTTACACTATAGTTTTTAAACTGCAACATTAACACCCCTCCTTCAGAGTGCAGGCACTGTGCTTCCCATCTCCAGGACTCAAGTCCGGCCTGCCGGTTTCCCTGAATCCCTTCATAAATGTTACTTTGCTCACACTCCAACAGCACGTCAAGTATTAATAACCATTTGTCTCCATTCACTCCTATCAAACACGGTCATGCCTGCCTGCTGGAAGTCCAAGCCCCTCGCACACAAAACCTCCTTTACCCCCTCCCTCCAACCTTTCCTAGGCCGACCCCTACCCCGCCTTCCTTCCACTACAGACTGATACACTCTTGAAGTCATTGTTTCGCTCCATTCTCTCTACATGTCCGAACCACCTCAACAACCCTTCCTCAGCCCTCTGGACAACAGTTTTGGTAATCGCGCACCTCCTCCTAACTTCCAAACTACGAATTCTCTGCATTATATTCACACCACACATTGCCCTCAGACAGGACATCTCCACTGCCTCCAGCCTTCTCCTCGCTGCAACATTCATCACCCATGCTTCACACCCATATAAGAGCGTTGGTAAAACTATACTCTCATACATTCCCCTCTTTGCCTCCAAGGACAAGGTTCTTTGTCTCCACAGACTCCTTAGTGCACCGCTCACCCTTTTCCCCTCATCAATTCTATGATTCACCTCATCTTTCATAGACCCATCCGCTGACACATCCACTCCCAAATATCTGAATACATTCACCTCCTCCATACTCTCTCCCTCCAATCTGATATCCAATCTTTCATCACCTAATCTTTTTGTTATCCTCTTAACCTTACTCTTTCCTGTATTCACTTTTAATTTTCTTCTTTTGCATACCCTACCAAATTCATCCACCAACCTCTGCAACTTCTCTTCAGAATCTCCCAAGAGCACAGTATCATCAGCAAAGAGCAACTGTGACAACTCCCACTTTATGTGTGATTCTTTATCTTTTAACTCCACGCCTCTTGCCAAGACGTCATTTAATGGTACAGTATTGAAAAGAGTGTTAGAATGGTTCAAGATTCTGGAAAATTAAGCATCCAGCCTCCACCAGTGGTTACTTTAAATATAGGAAAGAGTTACCTGTGCTATTCAACTGTGGATGATAGACTGTGCGACTTGTTGATCTGGGTATTAGTATGTTATGTTCAGGATACAGGTGTTGTATACTCTGTGCTGTGAATTCTGTATATAAGATGTGGAAAAAGACGCTTATGTACAGTTCAGGACATTTATTAGAGGAAGCATTTCGCCACGAATGACTTCTTGAGAAGACACTCGTGACAAAATATTCCTCTTAATAATCGTCCTGAACTGTACATACATGTTTTTTTTCACATCTTGTCAGTATCGTTACCAGGTGCCAGATCAACCGGGCTGTGATGGATATGTGGGTCAGTGGATCACCAGCATCACCAGCCTGGTTGACCAGGCAAGCACCAGACAAGCCTGATCTATGGCTTGGCTCTGGGAGGAGAAAAACTCTTGGAACTCATCAAAGGTAAAGGTATACCATACCATTTGTCTGTATACAGAATTTTGAATTATCCAGCCAGGTATTCCTTGGGAAGAGGCTAAGCGTGACCTTGTCAGGGAAAATGACAAAGAAAGCTTTGCTGATGACTGGGGAGAAAGAAGGCAACATGAAGAACAGCAGTGGGATGACTGGCAAAACGATGACACACCGTCTGCTACCTGTCTTTTCTGCCAGTATACGACCAAGGTAAGTATTAAAAAATATATCAGTGATGTAGTATACTTAATGATGTTTGGAGCATACTGAAAAATCAGTGAAAGCTCTATCCAAATTATAGGTTAGCTATGAAAGGAAAGGATTACTTGATTTTGAGTAATCCACATGGTATGAGGATGTGGAGCTCTGTTGGTGTCCAGGAAAACGATCAGGTGGATGCTGAAGCAATGGCTGCTGTAGCGATATCCACAGATGTGTTCTTGGGAAGTGGCAGGCCCACTGGGCCCTACTGACTAGCAGCAAGTTATAGAAGTTTCGGCAAGATGTGGGTGTTTGATCCTCTAACAGGAATTGTCACTTCGAAATGAATCTGTCAATTAAGGATAGAGCACACATCTTGCCCATAGCCATCTGTTCACAGATGCTTCCCCTTTCTCCTCCAGTGTAGTTTATAGTGTGCTGCTCACTGTAATACACTTCAGCCTTAGACGATTCCATCTTTGTCATGGTTTTATAATTACCAGGATACTTGTAGGGATCTTGAGGAACTTTCAGGGAAGTCTTTTGCTATTAATAATTGAATGGAATTTTTAACTGATACTGGTCATTTTAACTTGGTATAAAAATATTTGCTTGTCTTGAGCATTTATGTTCCTAGCTTTTATTGTTAATTTTATTTTTTGTGTGTGTGTGTGTTGTATATAGTGCATATACAGTATGCAATTACTGCTCTGAGTGCCCTACATGATCAAAGGGCTCAGTAAATATTACAGTTACTACTTGATTTTGAGTATAATGTGTAAAGGATTACAATATATTATCAACAGTTATGTAAAATAAATATAGTAGGGATGTGTGAGTAAAGTAACATTTATGAAGGGCTTCAGGGAAACTGGTTAGCCAGACTTGAGTCCTGGAGTTGGGAAGTATAGTGCCTGCACTCTGGAGGAGGGGTGGAGATACATTGAATTTTGGGATATTGGCAGTTTGGAGGGATATGTTGTGTATCTTTATATGTGTATGCTTCTAGACTGTTGTATTCTGAGCACCTCTGCAAAAACAGTGATAGTGTGCGAGTGTGGTGAAAGTGTTGAATGATGATGAAATTATTTTCTTTTTGGGGATTTTCTTTCTTTTTTGGGTCACCCTGCCTCGGTGGGAGACGGCCGACTTGTTGAAAAAAAAAAAAAAAAAAAAAACTGTACTATCAGCATGCCTCTGGCAAGACAGTGGGAAGTGGCTGATGTGTTAAAAAAAATGTTTTAGACATACATTAAAACTTATCATTAACAGATTTGTCATTAATGGATTTCAGCAATTTTGGACAAAAAAAATTGGTTGGGCAAACATTGGAAGCATCAGATAAAATGAAAAAAGAATCCATAATTCTAGATTTTGTCCATAATGATAGTGTCTGGTCGTCTTCTGAAGTTTTGTATCAAGCAATCTGGTATGGGCCAGAGTGGCCACATCCAGGTAGGTAGTAGATTTGCTGGTATAATCGCCCGGCCCGAGCCTTTTCAAAGTGGTGACCTGGCCTTGGCTCCCTTTCATGGGAGTGTCTCAGACCAATGTCTGCCATGGGAGGATGTACAAGTCCCTCCTTGTCTTCTGGAACTAGCTGTCCCCAAGCCTAGCCCCATTTCCTGCCCCCGTGGGGCTCGGATGGAGAAGCTAGGCACCTTGGGCTGCCACAAACCCCTCTCACACTGGCTCGAAGGGTGTGGCAGCTACATAGCAGCAGATGATGTCAGGAGGTGCAAAGGCAGCAAGCACTACAGGATCCTTTTCAAGCCACACCCCAGCTTTGGGCTTTAAGCCCGGGCGCTGGGGAAGCTCAAGAATGCCCCTTGTTGTGAGCGTTGCTGCTGCTAGTTCACTTGTCCATTGCACTTTCTGGCCACATCTAGGACCTGTCTGATTTTATTGTTCCCAGAGCCATAGGTGACCCACACCAGTTTCTTGTTTATGCTCACTCGTGCATACACTCAGCCAACCAGTGATGTGGTACCTTGCCTCTTGGGCAGCATTTGAATCAGTAGGAGTGAGGGTCTGTGAGAGTGACTTAGCAGCCAATCATCAATGGGCTTAAATGTCTCTATGGTAACATCTCAGCCAATAGCAGAGTTTGTAATTACAGTTTATACTCCACAGTTTGAAGCTATCACAACTGTTTCCCATAATAACTCTAGATTATTTATCCTTCCTAACTGCATTTGTGTTACAATTAAAATATCTTTTGAATTACTAAGTCAACATGCCCCCTAAAATGTGCAGTAAACAGCCCATTTCTCAGAAGATGAAGCAAGAAATTAATGCATAGGTGTGTGAGTATCGCTTTCCACAATCAACCATCTTTGATATTATCAAGTAGATAGAAATAATAAAAAATATTGAGCTGTGTTTAAAACACAGATCTGCATTAGGGACCCTAACATCAGTTACATTTATCTATGAGATGGCCGCTCGAAGGGTTAATGATTGTTAGAAAAAACATCTTATTGCACATGAGTACATATTTGTAGGTAATGCAAAAAAAAAAAAAAAAATCTTTGCAAAATTAAAATTGAAAGCAATTTTTTTTAAGCTTTGCAGAAAGGTTTGAAGAAATTGATCAAATAGTGACAGATGGGTGGTGGAATTTGACGTGAATAATTACACCCTGCCTCGGTGGGAGACGGCCGACTTGTTGAAAAAAAAAAAAAAATTACAATGTAATGAAATGTTAAGTGAATGCGTGGGGAGTTTTGAACCAAGTGTGAGAGGACTTGTGGTTGGGGATTTCAATGCTAAAGTGGGTAAAAATGTTGTGGAGGGAGTAGTAGGTAAATTTGGGGTGCCAGGGGTAAATGTAAATGGGGAGCCTTTAATTGAGCTATGTGTAGAAAGAACATAAGAAAGGAGGAACACTGCAGGAGGCCTGTTGGCCCATACTAGGCAGGTCCTTTACAATTCATCCCACTAACAAAACATTTGCCCAACCCAGTTTTCAATGCTACCCAAGAAATAAGCTCTGACGTGCAAGTCCCACTCAAATCCAACCCCTCCCACTCATGTACTTATCCAACCTAAATTTGAAACTACCCAAAGTCCTAGCCTCAATAACCCAACTAGGTAGACTGTTCCACTCATCAACTACTCTATTTCCAAACCAATACTTTCCTATGTCCTTTCTAAATCTAAACTTATCTAATTTAAATCCATTACTGCAGGTTCTCTCTTGGAGAGATATCCTCAAGACCTTATTAATATCCCCTTTATTAGCCCTTAAATGGTCCAAACGTATATATACGTTTTTTCAACATCTGAAAGTATGTAAAAAAATGTAGATCTTTTTTGTTTTACATTTGAAAACGTGTAAAAAACTTTTACCTACATTTTTTTTTTTGTTATATTTGAAAATATGTAAAAGAAGTAGATTTACTTTTGTAGCACTACGAATTTGAACATCGATCTCTTTGGACCATTTAAGGGTTAATACCTATCTTCCACTTATACACTTCGATCAGGTCTCCCCTCATTCTTCGTCTAACAAGTGAATGTAACTTCAATCTTTGTTCATAAGGAAGATTTCTAATGCTATGTATTAATTTAGTCATCCTACGCTGAATGTTTTAAGAACATAAGAATGAATTTATGTCCATTCTGTAATATGGAGACCAGAATTGAGCTGATTTGGTAATAAGTAATAAATATTTTATGAAAAAGAGGATAAATAAATATACAAGATATGATGTAGCACGTAATGAAAGTAGTTTATTAGATTATGTACTGGTGGATAAAAGGTTGATGGGTAGGCTCCAGGATGTACATGTTTATAGAGGGGCAACTGATATATCGGATCATTATTTAGTTGTAGCTACAGTTAGAGTAAGATGGGACAAGAGGAAGGTGGCAACAACAAGTAAGAGGGAAGTGAAAGTGTATAAACTAAGGGAGGAGGAAGTTCAGGTGAGATATAAGCAACTATTGGCAGAAAGGTGGGCTAGTGCAAAGATGAGTAGTGGGGGGGTTGAAGAGGGTTGGATGAGTTTTAAAAATGCAGTATTAGAATGTGGGGCAGAAGTTTGTGGTTATAGGAGGGTGGGTGCAGGAGGAAAGAGGAGTGATTGGTGGAATGATGAAGTAAAAGGTGTGATAAAAGAGAAAAAGTTAGCTTATGAGAGGTTTTTACAAAGCAGAAGTGTTATAAGAAGAGCAGAGTATAGGGAGAGTAAAGGAAAGGTGAAGAGAGTAGTGAGAGAGTGCAAAAGGAGAGCAGATGATAGAGTGGGAGAGGCACTGTCAAGAAATTTTAATGAAAATAAGAAAAAATTTTGGAGTGAGTTAAACAAGTTAAGAAAGCCTAGGGAATGTATGGATTTGTCATTTAAAAACAGAGTAGGGGAGTTAGTAGATGGGGAGAGGGAGGTATTAGGTAGATGGCAAGAATATTTTGGAACTTTTAAATGTTGAGGAAGAAAGGGAGGCGGTAATTTCATGCACTGGCCAGGGAGGTATACCATCTTTTAGGAGTGAAGAAGAGCAGAATGTAAGTGTGGGGGAGGTACGTGAGGCATTACGTAGAATGAAAGGGGGTAAAGCAGCTGGAACCGATGGGATCATGACAGAAATGTTAAAAGCAGGGGGGATATAGTGTTGGAGTGGTTGGTACTTTTGTTTAATAAATGTTTGAAAGAGGGGAAGGTACCTAGGGATTGGAGGAGAGCATGTATAGTCCCTTTATATAAAGGGAATGGGGAGAAAAGAGATTGTAAAATTTATAGGGGAATAAGTTTACTGAGTATACCAGGAAAAGTGTACGATAGGGTTATTATTGAAAGAATTAGAGGTAAAACAGAATGTGGGATTGCGGATGAGCAAGGAGGTTTCAGAGTGGGTAGAGGATGTGTAGATCAAGTGTTTACATTGCAGCATATATGTGAACAGAATTTAGATAAAGGTAGGGAAGTTTTTATTGCATTTATGGATTTAGAAAAGGCATATGATAGAGTGGACAGGAGAGCAATGTGGCAGATGTTGCAAGTAGT